ACCCAAACCATTCTATGATTCTATGTCCTTACAGCAGTGTGCCTACTGGATCTGACAGACCCATGGGTACATTTTATGTCAAACTGTGACTGATCACACAATTTTCACAAGTATCTCCCCTTCTGAAATCACCAGTTGCTAGGAAAAGATGTAGAATTCCTTAATAGCTTGTGACATAGGTAGTGTTTACTATTCACTAGACAAAAAAGATACAGCCTGAACAATCCACTTTAGAACCTTAACAAACTGTCATCACACGAGTTATGTGTACTAAGGAAGCGTATAAATCAGAAGAAAAGGACTGCATCTTCTGCCTCTAAGGCAGAACTATTTGATTACATAGTACAGTCAAAAAGGAAAACTAAGGATTAATAAATTCTGTAAAGAAGTAAAAATCATGCAAAGAGGTAGTTCATATGGCTTCTCCTTCTTTTGGTATCATCCCCGCAACTATAATTAGGAAAAATATTAGGAGGTTGGGGAGACACCACTTTTCAGTATCTTGGGAGCATCACAAAAGTATTTCAACGAAAGCTCTAGTCCAGGTTATGAGAGCAGTCACGTGCCTACTTATTACCATATTACAGCTGTTGCTAATAAACTTGATTGTCAAATCATTCTTGGAAAGTATATATTTTAGCAAATAAATTTTGTATCCCAGTATATTACAGAAAACACCCTGAAGTTACATAAATCAGACCGAATTTAACATCTGCAGGTATACAGATGTTAAACATTTTTATCACTGTACTTATTTATGGCACTGTATACGTGATCATAAGTGGGATTTTTCAGGTTGCCAAAACTGGATATTCTGTACTTCACTGATTGACGACAAACTACACTGAAATATTTTTTATGGATTTATTTCATTATTCCAGCTCAGTCCTCAATGGATTTTACGTATTTCTCATAGGCATCTTCATTCATCAGTTCATCAGCAGGGTTTTCCACAGTCATCTTGATAAGCCAACCTGAAGTTAGGAAATGAAAAACAGTTGCTAATACCCTACAAGAAAGATCCATCCATGTCTCTGCGTTAGAAAAGTGCCCCCAGTAGGCTACAAGCCCTCTAACACTGGTACAATCAACAGCATTCCTTGTGCAGGCCAAACAATGTTTTAATACTTTTTTTGGTAAAATTAACAAACAACCTGTCATAAGAACTGGCCTTCTGAGCCAGACCAGCTGCCTAATTTAGTGCTGTCTGACAGCAGCATCAAGGAGACACTGTCTAAAAAGAGAGCCTGACCTCTCAGTATGATGAGCTGCTACAAGAGCAAAACAGAAATGTGATGAAGGGAAATAGATTTAAATGCAGCCACAGCCTATGTCTGAAAAGAACACGGTGTAAAACAGGTGTCAGCAAAGACCAGGCTACAATAATACTTTAACATTAAATTCTATTGGGCTTGAACTGTATTCAATATACCCCATTTAAACCTTCACACCATTAAACTGAAAGAACTAGGAATTGTAGAGCCATTTGTGCTAGCAAGAACCCGGGTGGTATTCATTATCCAAAAGATAAAAATGACATCTTACCATCTTGATAACAGGATTTATTGACGAGCCCTGGATTATCTGCAAGGGCATCATTAATTGCAGTCACCTCTCCTGTGAGGGGAGAGTAGAGTTCGCTAGCAGCTTTCACACTTTCCAAAGCTCCAAACTCATCTGGAACACAGAGGAAAACACAAAGCACTTTAGTTTGTCAGACGTTCTGGTGATGACCTCGCCGCTGAAGAAGTGTCTTGATCTTGAGCAAGGAAAACTGTCAGAGATTGAAGCCACCAGCTTTATGACAACAATCAGTAGTCTTAAATTTGAGATTTACGCTAGTAGGTAGCTGGCTACTACAGAAGGGATGGAAACTTCTTACTTCTAGTCTGACCCTTTGGCTAAAGCCCTGCAGCGTTTGGTATGTTATCAGGTTATAAGGAACCACATCCAGGTCTTGGGACAAGAGACATCAATAAGCCTTTTAACTACAATTCCAACCTTTTTATATATAATTTGGTTACAAATTAGACACAGCCACTATTTGAGAAATGCCAATTTTTCTTCAGAAACTCTATCAAGTGCTACATTTGCACTCAGAAAACACACATTAGTATTCAGAAGCACCACACTGGAATCACCCAGCTGCTCTTTCCTTTTTTTCTGATTGTAGGCAGTTATGGAAATGGTGTCTGGAGCAATACTAGTCCTGAGTTACTCCAAGTCACAAGCAAACAAGGCAGAAGCTGGAGGAACACGGAGCTGTCACGAGAGTAGATAGGCATCAGCAAGAGGAATCAGAGAACAACATGTTCTGGGAAAGCTTGGAATTAGGCTAAAGCCAGAATGGGTAGAAAAGAACTAAATGGAAATGAAATTCCTTCAGATAAAACTACAAGTTGGTTAATTAAAACCCTAAACTGAAAGACCTTTTGTCTAACATTCACCATTCAATGCGATGTACTAGATTTGGCCAAAACAGTTGCATATGAACCTATTCCACAAGTAGGATGGCAAAAGAGAGGCCTGCTACTTCACCACAGAAACTCTACTTTCTTTTTCTGCAACCTCTAAAGCTAATGACAACCTTTTCTTCATATCCTAGCGAAAGAGCTCTCTGTAAATACAGGAACAGGCTTTTATTTTCTACCTGTTAAAGCCCATCCTTCTTTAATATGGAAAATTATACAACTGAATGATTAAAAATGTAATAATCTGTACACTGCTAATGAGCAAAAACCTATGGTTACAGCTGATACCCCAAAATTACCGAGTCTGTGTGTTCACGGAAAAATTGGAGCTTGGTATCAATTAGATGCTTCACATTATGCAACTCATGAAATGCCTAACTGAATGTAAAAAGAATTACAAATAAGCCAGCCTGAACATTAGCAAGTCCAAATTAAAGCATAAATACTTTAAAAACAGAGCATAGGTAAAACTATTACCAAAAAACCTCAAATATTTTTAAAATAATTTCTTCACAGTTTAATAAGCAGGTATTTTCTGCTACCACACACGGTCTGACAGTGAGAGTTTGAAATAAAGCTCTCCTGTAGAAATAATCTGAATTTGTTTTGCATCCGGATGATTTGTAATGGTATAAATGAATATAAAGATTACTTCATAAAATTAATCTCTGCAAAGGGAGAGTGAGATGGATAGAATAATTACTTCATTAGAAATTAGAGCCAAAACTTACCGTGTTTACTCAATTTTGTCCCAATTTCTGGAAGACTACAGTAAACAACATCTCCTAATGCTTCCTTAAAAGAAAAACAAAAGCATCAAAGCATACATTAAAGAAACTATACATAGGAGAGAGCTGATACAGTAACTCTACAATCTGTATACAAGTAATCTCTGTCTCTAAATTTAGTTCTCATTCTTTTAGGACCACATATTTTTCCACTTTTTCTTTTTAAACATTTACCTTGGAAAAGAATGGTTTGTTATCATGCCCCAAATGCCCAATTATTGTTCATCTATTACAGTGTTAATAACCCGCAGGCTGAGTTACAAGGCATATATATACATCAGCTGATCTTCGCATCAGCTACAGTAACAGCTGTTTTAAAGGACAACAGTTCCCAATGACTGGAGGGAATTCCCTTTTTGTTACTTCCAGTGCAGACTGAAAGAAAATGCAGTGTTTCCTCTCCAGACACACGGACAGTTGGACAGTTTGTCCTGACTGACTGAATGAGCAGCCTTATCACCATAAGAATCAGCTCAACCAGAACAGGCGTCTCCCTCTTCACTGACTAATGTACCCTTATCTCACAAAAGTCTAGGGATCTTAGACATCATGGGAAATGGCTGATTGTCCTAATATTAATTAGGACAAGCATTAATTCCACTTAGTGACAGCTTCTCACGTAAGATTTTCTGCAGTTTCACATACAGTGAATCTTATTCTGAATTTGCCTGTGACCATTCCAGAGCAAGTACTTGCACGAGTACGAAACGATCCAAAGGAATTCCTATCCTAGAGCGACAAATACATGCCATGTTGTACTACTATTCACAATTGTTCTTTAGCCAGAGGGATTTAACTGTATTCATGTTCAAGGGAAATTTGACCTAAAAAGTGCACAATATCCTCTATGTAGCCGCAGAGACCTCAGGCCTTGTAAGAACTCAAGTAATAGAGGAGGTTTTGAATTCTCCTGAAGCACTGAATTTCTCATCAAATTCTGCTCTCCACGGGATCAATCTGAAATGATTCAGAATTTGTCAGGATGCTGAAGCAGCATTCACCTCAAAAAAATATATATATCCAAGTCCAAAGATCATGCTCAGCTGAGAGCATATGCAGTTAGAACAGCAAAAAACGGTAAAAAAACCTGTCCAAAGATGAAGGACAAGAGTAGGTATGCATAAATAAATATTGCAGACTTGGGTAAAGGGAGAGGGATCGATACCTGTGCAAAATTGCTGATTCCTACTGTTCCAATGCCATTTTCAACAGATATCCATTCATGCTTGTCTGTGAATTTGCGGGCTAAAATGAAACAAACTTGGAATTTCAGAAGTAAGTGACATGTTGCTCACTTAAATACAGTAGCATATTTGCAGGGTCAAACTGTGGTCGTTTCTTTAGTGAGGTCAGTTTTGTTAGTTTTTCTTGGAAAACAGGACATAAAATTTACAGAAGCATTTTGTTCTGCTCATGACACGCTTAGTGATGCAGCAGAAGCTCACTAGTTGTTCTGCTGCGAGTATTCTATCATGTGCAACCACCTAGAGACTGGTAACACGCAGGAGCAAAAGGAGTAGTTCTACTTCAAATAAAAGTCTAAGTCTGAAGCATATGTGTACTCATTTATATGATAGCACTGTGGCTTTTCAAGCGTATTTAGTTTCTGTTTCTGACAGCCACTTTATTATCCCAGGGAAGGCCAGGGTTAATGACTCGTTAGAAACCATCAGCATTACAGCATCTAATTCGAAGTACTTATAGCGCCATGAAGAAAAAAGTTGCAGCCTAGCTACCAAAAAGGGGCTGATCCCCTTCCCTGCTCCGACATTTCTTATAGAGTCTATTTCTCCCTGTTTAATGTTGTCACAGGTCTGGATAAAATTAAGGCAAATGATACAGGGCAAATTAATAAAGCTGTTCATACAGGCAACTGTTACTTAAGAGAATTTGCTCATTGTTACTACAGTTACTGTGAGAAGAACACCGTTATTCTGTATAGCTTTAAAATAAGCATAATTAAGACCCTGTTAAGACTTTTCACAGCAATCTTGCAATTCTACGTATATTTTAGGTCTGTAACATTCAGGACAGCTTGTACTGGCTTTTATTATTAGAAATTCTTCCTATAAAGTCATACGGAGAAACTTCAAAAGAAATGACTGAAATAGGCATATTTTTTCTCACTGACATTTTACCTGGAACTTTTCTTACTCGGAGCATTTTCAGCCTGCTTTGTCTGCTTTCTCAGTTCCATGGTTTCCATATGGATACCTCTCCCATTTTTACTAACTTATTTTTAATTTTCACTTGTAGCACCTATCCAATCAGGCAAGGGATGTGCTAGAAGCTGGAGAAGATAACTTCTTTAACAGAGCTCTCTGTGTGATGAGCGCCAGAGTAGCACAGCTGGACCTTTTCTTGAGTTCCAAATTCTCCCCTCAGGCTTTTCCTCTAGGCTGGACTCCTTATACTGGCTGCAGAAACTACGCCTGTGCGAATCCTTCTGTATTTTCTAAACATGAAGGAAAACAGAAGTTCTCCCTGTAGACCTGCTACAATCTTTCCACTCCAAGTCAGTCATATTTTAAGCTGTTTCAGTTGTAATGATCTTCTCATTTATGTCTGAACATGTTTAAGAGAAGCAAATCTCAGATAAAATGGTTTGTCTTTGAAGATGGTCCAAGTTTTACGGACCTCAGTAGAGCAATACATGTTTTTGTAAGTATAGTACACAAAAAAAAATTAGAGTAAAATGCAACTATCAAGTATTTTTCAGTGAGTCCTCACTCCAAAACCCCAGATAGTTTCAGGTAGCATTATTTCTACCTACAAAAATCCCTCAGGACATGTTCTGATGAACAGAAGAAATCAGAAGTCTTAAATCATTTTAGTTCAAGACATAAAACCCCCAGGAATTTCTTTGGAAACAAGTAATGAACCGTAAGAATGGAGAATGACGCAATCTCAAACCCAAGCTGAACATCTGTGACACTACATGTCACAAAGAAGCCTACCACTGTCTTTTTCTATGTAGGGTAATATTTATGTGGGGTATATAAATATATTGCATAAGATTAGTTTATAAGTCAAGGTTAAAAAAAATACTAAAAAGAACACCAGAAGACTTCCACGATCAGTTCAGAACAGAGCAGTAAAATGTTCTCAACAGTTGGAAGAGCACTGAAGTTTCTTGTAGGACAAAGAAAACAGTTAGAATTGAAAAACTCTAAGCATGCAACAAAACCACTGCAAGTAAAAGTCAAATTAAAGAGTTAATAAGTAATCTCAAAATCTGACCTTTGATCTTATGTGATCAGCTCACTAAATAAATCAAATTAAACAAATATGAACTGCCAAAGCACACCAAGTCTCTTCTGTGAGCATTCTTTTCCAGGAGAGCAGTGAAATTTACTCTAGCTTCATTCATTTCAACAGGCCCTTGGTATCAGCTTAAATAGCACATTCTGAATTCAGACCCTCATTTAACTTAACCTGCCTCTATTAAGTATTTCATAAATATATACCTGAAGAGTGAAGGAAAACTCACACCTCCACAAAGAGGCATATAACATTTTTCCTCTCTGCCTAAAACAAAAGCACAGTTTATGTTATTGCTTCAACTTATAGCTAAACAGTGGGTACATTAAACAATTAGAATAGAGAAAAAAGCTTAGATTTTGACTCAATTTGCAAATAAATGTGATTTCTCTCACTTGGTGCATAAGACAGTTAAGAAGAGAGGTAAAAAAAGCTATATGGAAAGAAATTTATAACCTCTTCTTAGTGGCAATCCTTATTTCTATCGCATATTCTCCTCTTCTCTCCTGCCTTTTCAAAATGTGTTTCCTGGGGTACTAAGTGGTATTTTTCAAACTTTCATCCGAAGGGAGCTTTGACAGCAGGAGAAACCTTGAGAATTAACTACATTAAGTGCAAAATCACACCAAGCAGCGACGTGCAGGCCCGTCTCCTGCCTCACCCCTTCCGTAGCTGCGCTGCACAGGAGCTGCTGAGGCAGAGCCCAACTCCTTTAGCCCAAACAGGCCCAAGGCGCTAAAACCCTGGCTCATGGCTCCTGTCAGCCCACCCAACCCAACTGCTGCCGGCCTCCTCCTCCTCCTCCTCCCGGCTGCGCCCCTTTCTGGTCCCGATGATGATGCTCCTCGGGCAAGGATCCGGGCACAAGCGACCCGCTTCCTTTGTCCAGCCCGCGTTCTCCTTGCTCGCCCCGCTCCGCACAGCCCCCGGCTGGGGCTGGATAACGGGCCAGCCACACTTGGCTGTAAGCTGCAGCACGGAGAGGAGAAGTCTCCTGGCAACTAACGGAGGCGAACTCGCTCCTCACGGGAGGAGGCAGCGGGAGGGTGTCAGCACCAGGGACAGGTGAGACCGCGCTCTCATTGCCCCCCACGGCTACGAACCCCCGCCGGGCTTCAG